ACACTGCAGAAGAAAAGATCAGTGAAGACAACAGAAGCTATCCAGAATGAAACACAGAAAGAAAAACGAAAGTTACAGATCGTTAGTGCGTGTCAAGTGGCCTGATAATATGTGTAGCTGGAGTATTCTAATGAGAGGAGAGAGAAAAGAAGAGAACAGAAAAAAAGAATTTTGAAAAAATAATGATTGAAAATTTCCCAAATATAACGGAACTCTTAAACTCACATATCAAAGCTTAAACTACCTCAAGCACAAGGAACCTGAAGAAATGAAACCAAAGTGCATGAAAATCAAACTGCTCAAAGTCAACAATAAAAAGAAAATCTTCAAAGCATCCGGAGGAAGAAAACACATGTTCCATACAAGATAAGGAAAGTGGCAGATTTCTCATCAGCAACAATCCCAGTGAGAAGTCAGGGAGGCAGCATCTCTAAAGCACTAAAAACAAACAAACAAAAAACAGCTGAACCAATTGGGCTCAATTATATATTAAATTGATTTTTAGTTTGGTGTCCAGCAGACAAAACCTATCGCTAAAGCCGTGCCAACATTTTTGGCACCGGGAATCAGTTTTATGGGAGGCAGTTTTTCCATGGATCCAATGGAGCAGAGAATAGTTTGGGAATGAAACTATTACACCTCAGATCATCAGGAGCGTGCCACCCAGATCCCTCACATACACAGTTCACTATAGGGTTTGTGCTTCTATGAGAATCTAATGCTGCTGCTGCTCTGACCGGAGGTGGAGCTCAGGCGGTAATGCTGTCTCACCCACCACTCACCTCCTGCTGTGCGGCCCAGTTCCTAACTGGCCTGTGGCCCAGGGGCTGGGGAATCCTGCTCTAAAGGGAAGTCCTAGTCCACCAGTTGCACTTAAAGCACTTGAAAAACTCCCTTTACAAGAAACCCTTTTCCAGTCCAGTTTCAGACATGGCTGACCTGGGAACGAACATGTTTAGTCGCCTGAGCAGTCACTTTGCAGAGGAATTCTAACATAAAAACGTAGATGAATCAACACAGCACAATCAGAGATGTGGTGGCCCAGGATATGCCACCTCAGTATTCTGTTCTTCAGTTCTAGAGAGAAACAAGTATTCATAAACCCAGAGTCAAAGGCTCTGGCACCAAACCAGGGCCTCCAGAACGAACGGATTTGTTTGTCTTTATCAGAGACTCCCAAAGGAGCATGTAACTATTTGTTTATTTATTTATTTTATTTTATTTTTTGAGACCTAGTTTCATTCTGTCACCCAGGCTGGTGTGCAGTGGTGGGATCTTGGTTCACTGCAACCTCCCCATCATGGGTTCAGATCATTCTCCTGCATCAGCCTCCTGAGTAGCTGGGCTTACAGGCATGCACCACCACACCTGGGTAATTTTTGTATTTTTGGTACAGATGGGTTTTTACCATGTTGGTCAGGCTGGTCTCAAACTTCTGGCCTCAAGTGATCTGCCCACCTTGATCTCCCAAAGTGCTGGAATTACAGGCATGAGCCACTGCGCCTGGCCTGTGTAACCATTTTAAACCCTAGCACTGCTTTTGTGGAAGTGGTTAGAATTTGCTGGCCCTGTTAGTAATTGCAGTGGTTTTCATCCTTTTTGCATGGTCTCCTTCACAGCAGAATGCTGTTGTTAAATCATCAGACTTGATACTGTCATTCGACCTGACATCTTTTTTCATCGTCTGCTCCCATCATGTGCTCCACAGATGTGTCTCCTCCCTCCTGGCCAAGTAACCTCTCTATAGCGCTGGGTCCTTCCCTCCTCCTTCTCAGCTAACCTACATACCCCACCCATTCGAGACCACCCCCAGCAGCTTACCTGTGCCACACTGGGGCTACAGGAGTCCTCCCAACCCTCTCCAGCCCAGCAAACCTTGTCACTGTTCTCTGTGGCCCCCCACTCTGGGATGGTACCGGAGACTTCACTGAGTCTTGCTCGGCCACTGCTGTCATACAAGAAGGGCAGCTGAGCTTCTGCCGACTTCTGTTCTCCCATCTCCAAGGGGGATTTCATCCCCAGCGCTCCTTATCGTTAGAGGAGGGCTTGTCCAGGAGGACTCCAGGGATCAGATGGCAGCCCCCACAGTGCTGCCTCGTCTCTTGCTTCCTCTCCAAACTACATCCTTTCTTTCCCCAGCATGGAGGCTCTGTAATGACTGTGGAGAGGGTAAATTGTTTTCTCCCTAATTCTCTTCCAAATACATCCCATCTTTTACCTGGATCTGTGCCCTCTAGCCTTAGACAGTACCTGTTTGCTGCTGCTTCTCTGTTCCATGCTGACAACACTTGGTTGGGGCAAATAATGGCCTGAGCCTCTCCCCAGGGGAAGGAGTGCAAAAGCTTTATCCCATCACCTGTCGGGAGAAGGGATCCTTTCCTGGCACAAGTGAGAAATTCTAATTAGACATGACTTCTTGTGTTGGACCTACTCCATCTAGGCAAATTGGCTTCATTTACTGTGATAATATTGTAAATCTTCTGTACACACACAAACATACACATAACCAACCTTTCAAAATAAAAGCTATTTTCTGTGCCTCAATAATAAAAATATCAAATCTGTTGTCTGGTTACCCTTTCTCTCTTAGGGAGAACACGTCACTCCTCACCAGTTTCTTGTACCAAAAACATGTTTCTATATCTCATACATGTTATTGGTCCGAAGTAGCCATTTTTTGTTCTGTTGCTCTCAAATCAGTTCCCAGCAAAGCTGAAGGAGTCCCATTGCTTTCCAAAAACCAAATCATCTTTTCATCCAACATTGGGGGTGTGGCTAGTAGCTGGACTTCTAAGAAAGACAAAGTTATGTCCATTTATTCTTGGCTCATTTCAGATATGGCCAGCTTCTCCTCTGCCTCTCTGGAAGGATGGAGAGAAAGGCTGGCCATGCTGGGAGACTGAGTGTGGAGGATGACAGGAGGCGGGACGGGCTGATGGCGGAGGAAGTGTAATGTCAGCAGCACATAAAAAAGACAGATACGGAGTCATAGGCTCCAGAGTCAGGGGGGCAGGTGACTCCTGTAGGCAGGATATTGAATATCTTTGTGCCTAAATTTCCCCGGCCATAAAATAAAAATGCTGACCTCCCTGGAGTTTCATGAATTAGAAGAGATCTCAAACATATAAGCCAGTTGCATGGGGCCTGCAAAGAAATGGTGCTGGGGAAGAGATAAACTCATTTTCCCCAGTTCACCTCTTCCCCATCAGGCTGAGGGCACATGCTTTGGCCTGCCTAAGTTGCCAGGAATACCCCTGCCATCTCCCAGAAGGCCAAGAGTATCTCCCCAATGTGGCAAGCTATTATTGATGTTCCTTTTGCAATATGTCAGTGTTGACCCCCCACACCCTGATTTGCATTCTCTTCCTTTTTCTAGCTTCTCTCCCTAGTTTTGGGGAAGATCCCAGGAGGAAGTGGGCTGCAAAAGCTCAGATTCCCAGGCTTTTCCAAGCTGGGAACTGGAGACTCAGCAGAGTGCAAGGACTAGGGGAGGCAGTTATGTCCAGAGGAAGCATGTCCATTGAATGCACGATGAAAGTTGGCATTGTACCAGGAGAAAGAGCTTCCTTCTTGCTAAGGGATGTCAGTTCCAGATTCCCATTTCCCAAGAAGCAGTTTGCACACCTGTGTTTTGTCATGTCTGGCACTTCCTGACCATCCCTTCTTTGCTCCCTGAGAGTGGAGCTGTCAAATAGTTCACTGCAGCCAAGAGATGCTTTAGTGAGTTTTACCTGCTCCCCTACCCCTCAAGGCTTCCCAGAGCTTGAGGCGCAAAGCGGGCATGAGAGTAAAGCATACAATGTGGTTGATGGTGATAAGAAACTATGTGAATGTGACTTCTAATGTAGGACAGGATGAAGTTGTTTTTTTGATCTCGTATTTCATGCAGGGCTGGGCTGAGGATGTGGCAGGCATGGCATATGCCCTACGTTCACTGCCAGAGGGGGCTCCCTGCCTGCCACAGGTGAGAGCCAGCTCTGGGGTGCCTGCCCCCATGGGGGAAGGGGGGTGGAGGGGGCCTGCTGGGGGGACTGGGTGGGAAAGGACTGGTCCCCAGGAGGACCCTGCCACAGAATCCACAACCTCATTGCGTGAATGTAATTTTCTCAACTCAAAATGAAATTGCAACAGGTGAAACCCTTGCATTTGTAGATTTTTCTATTGCACGCTCTTCTCCAGGACACTACAGGACAGTATACATCATACATGCAAATGTCTGAAAATCTGGGCCTGCGTTCTGTTAAGTGACACTGAATGCTTCTTCATCCAGATATGACAAGGACATTTTAATATGATGCATTACCTATGTTCCATTAAGGCTGACGACCACCAACCCGAAACAAACTTCGTGTCCTACTTTATGTATAAGACACTGAATTATGGCCCTGAACGTAATACAGTTTGACCTTAGTGTTTTTTTAAAAAATATATTTTACAATGTGCACTCTTGCTTTTCAATGTCATATTTACATTTATCTACCATGCCTGTTTCTGACGAGTCCACTCCTTATTGTTCAGCCAATGACTTACTGGCACGTTCAGAAACTCATCTCTGTGCCCTGTCTCCAAATTCAAAGCTCTTTTGAGAAATCACTCCCACACAACCCATTCTCATTTTCTACTTTTTCAGAAGTTTTTTTTTTTAATTTCTCTTAATGTCACTGGCCCCATCCGCCCATCCCAAACCTCTGTATCTTGAAGCATCAAGTATCTGCATCACGCAGATGACTTTCAACTTCAAGTACCGAAAACACTGTCGCAAAAGAAACCTAATACGGTTCACTGATTAACCCTGAAATCTTGGTCCTGTGCTGAAGGCAAAAAAAGGCAGTTAAAAAGTTTAAATGCCCGTCTAACATATTCAACCCATTCTGCACCTAGGTCTTGATAACGCAACCTTTTTGGCTCCTGTAAGCAGCCGTCTGAAAATGCAAATGTACTATTTGCATGTAGGGTTTTCTTCCTGCTTCTAATGCCCTTTACCTTCCCTGTTTTTGCAGTGGTCAGTTTATATCCGAGCCGCTGTCCGAAAAGAGAAAGGCCTGCCCATCCTCGTGGAGCTGCTCCGGATAGACAATGACCGCGTGGTGTGTGCGGTGGCCACAGCACTGCGGAACATGGCCTTGGACGTGAGAAATAAGGAGCTCATTGGTATGTTCTCTCTGAGTCACAGCGTCTCAGCTGTTACTGGAAAATATTTTCTCTTGGGGTAGATGTGGTGGAACCCATATGCACAGCATAGGCTTACGCAGAAGCCGTGCATTTATTAGCAGGCTCGTGTTTTCTGCTGTCCTTCTAGTTTAAATCCAGTGCACTGATTTACCTTTTAGAATTTAGAGGAAAATGCAATGCTTGTTGACATTTCTAATCCTTGCAAATTGAAAAGGACCTCAATGCTCGGCACTTGATACGGTTGTCCCAATCCCCTGAATCTCTGGCAGGCTGTTTGTTTCCGATGCGGTGAACAGAGGAATTCTGATGGACACACGTGACTTTTCTTCTCCTCTCTGTTTTAAGTTTATTTTGCATAAGACCATACTAACCCTATAATCCTATTCTTTTAAGAAATCATTTCTCTTTAATTTGCTATTCAAGAAATACAGAGGATTCTTTATTGACAAGGCATGAAAGAGGTAATACTTTCATCTGTCTATTCAACAAGACTATGGCCTGCTTTGTACCAGGCCTGTTGGCCCAGAGATTACATCAATAAGCAAAACAGACAGGAAGCCCTGACCTTGTGGAGTTTACATTCCAGAGAAGGAGATGTTCAGTCAGCAAACTAAACAAATGAATCACAAAATGGAGCTGAGTAAAGGGTAATCAGTGAGATTGCAAATTTCTTTTTAATTGAGATGATATCACATCACATAAAATTGACCACTTTAAAGTCTACCGTTTTAGTGGCATTTAGTATATTCATAATATTGTACAATCACCTGTGTCAAGTTTCAAAACATTTTCATCACACCAAAGGCAAACCATGTGTCCATTCGCAGTCACTCTCCATCCCCCTCCCCAGCCCCCAGCAGCCACCACTCTGCTCTCTGTCTACGGATCTTCCTATTCTGCGTATTTTGTATAAATGGAATCGTAGAACATATGACCTTTGAGTCTGACTTTTTTCACTTAGCATGAGGACTGTGTTTCTTTAATGGCAAACTAGTAAGTTATAATTATATACATTCATGGGCCGCAAAGTGATGTTGTGATATACAGGTTGAGGGTCCCTATTCCAAAAGTCCAAAATCTGAAATGATGCAGAATTTGAAATTTTTTGAGTGTCCACATGATGCGCCCTCCAATAAGCATTTCCAATTTCGAATTTTTAGATTAGGGATGTTCCACCAGTATTGTTAACTGGTATGTATTCTGCAAATATTCCCAAATCCAAAATAAAAAAATCTAAAATTTGAAACACTTCTGGTCCTAAGCATTTTGAGTAAGGGATCCTCAATCTGAATGTATATAATGTAAACTGATTCAATCAGGCTGATTAACATATTCATCTCCTCAAATAAGTATCTTTTCTTTGGTGAGAACATTTGAAAATTTACTCTTAGCAATTTTGAAATATAAAATACATTATTATTAACATAGTCACCTTGATGCACAATAAATCTCAAAAAACTTATTCCTCCTAAGTGAAACTTTGCACCCTTCGACCGATATCTCCTTATTCCTCTTAACCTTCAGTCTCTCATAACCACCATTCTACCCTCTACTTCTACAAAGTCTCTTTTTCTTGAGGTGGGGAGGGACAGAGTCTCACTCTGTCGCCCAGGCTAGAGTGCAATGGTGCGATCTCAGCTCACTACAACCTCTGCCTCCCGAGTAGCTGTGATTACAAGCTCCCACCACCACACCTGGCTAAATTTTCTGTTTTTAGTAGAGACAGTTTCACCATCTTGGCCAGGCTGGTCTTGAACTGCTGACCTCATTATCCACCCACCTCAGCCTCCCAAATTGCTGAGATGTGATATCACTCTGTTTCCCAGGCTGGAGTTCAGTGGTGTGATCTTGGCTTACTGCAACCTCTGCCTCCCAGGTTCAGACAATTCTCCTGCCTCAGCCTCTCGAGTAGCTGGGACTACAGGCAAGTGCCACCATGCCCAGCTAATTTGTGCATTTATTTAGTAGAGGCCAGGTCTCACCGTGTTGGCCAGGTTGGTCTCAAACTTCTGACCTCAGGTAATCCACCCACCTCAGCCTCCCAAAGTTCTGGGATTACAGGTGTGAGCCACCAGCACCGAGCCTATGGTTCTTTAAATTCATTTGTTTTAGATTCTAAATTTAAGTGAGACCATGTTGCATGTGTACATATGTAACTGGCTCATTTCACTTAGCATAAGGTCCTCCAGGTTCATCCATGTTGTTGTAAAGGACAGGATTCCCTTCTTTTCTATGGCTCAGTAGTATTCCATTGTGTATATATGCCATATTTTACTTATTCATTTATCTATTGATGGCCACGTAGGCTGCTTCTATACCTCGACTATTATGAATAACGCTCCAATGAACATACGAGCTATAAATAGTTCTGTGACATACTGATCTTAGAGTCTCTGGATATATATCCAGAAGTGGGATTACTGGATCATACAGTAATTCTGTATTTAGCTTTTTGTGGAAACTATGTGTTGTTTTTTCTAATCAGTACCGTCATGGTTGTGCTAATTTACATTCCTGCAAATAATGCACAAGGGTTTCTTTCTGTCTGCATCCTCACTAACACTTGTTATCTTTTATATTTTTGATCATAGCCGTTCTGACAGGTGTGAGGTGATAGCTTATTGTGGTTTTAATTTGCATTGCTTTAGTGATTACTGATATTGAACCTTTCTTCATACTGGCCATTTGTATTTCTTCTTTTGAGTAATGTCTGTTCATATTCTTTGCCCATTTTTAATAGGGTTATTTGTTTTCCTGCTATTGAATTGTTTGAATTCTTTATCTATTTTTGATATTAACCTGTAATTATATTTTTGGTTACAAATATTTTCTCCCAATCTGTAGGTTGTCTCTTCATTCAGTTATTTTTTTTTCTCTGCAGAAGCCTTTGAGTTTGATGTGATTCCATTTGTCTATTTTTTATTTTGTTGCTTGAGCTTTTGGAGTTAAATCCAAAAAAATCATTTCCCAGACAGTGTTGTATAGCTTTCCCCCTATGTTTTCTTCTAGAATTTTTATAGTTTGGGTCTTATTTTTAAGTCCTAAAATCCATTTTTAGGCCGGGCGCAGTGGCTCAAGCCTGTAATCCCAGCACTTTGGGAGGCTGAGGCGGGTGGATCACGAGGTCAACAGATCGAGACCATCCTGTTCAACATGGTGAAACCCCGTCTCTACTAAAAATACAAAAACTTAGCTGGGCATGGTGGCACATGCCTGTAATCCCAGCTACTCAGGAGGTTGAGGCAGGAGAATTGCCTGAACCCAGGAGGCGGAGGTTGCAGTGAGCCGAGATCGCGCCATTGCACTCCAGCCTGGGTAACAAGTGCGAAACTCCACCTCAAAAAAAAAAAATCCATTTTTAGTTGATTTTTGTATATTATATGAGATCAGGGTCCAGTTTCATTCTTCCATATGTGGATAGCCAGTTTAGGGTTGTGATTTTGCAGTGGGAGGTCAAGATAAGGGTGGTTGGGAATGTGACACTGTAGACTTTAAGGAGGTGCGACAGGAAGCCATGGAGGGATTTGGAGGGAAAGAATCCCAAGTTAAAGGGGCAGCCTCTGCACACAGCCCCTGGAGAGGGAACTGAGAGCAGACCAGTGGGCTTCAGGCCTCCAAGGGACCTCGTGTACCTGGCAGGGTGAGTGCTGGGAGCCAAGATTGGAGAGGCCTTCTGATGCCTCCCTCTGTAGGTGGGTTGGTGCCAAGGCCAAGACAGATTGATCTCCTGGAGAAAGATGAATCTACTGGGACCTCTCAGAAGAGGACACAGTCCCCGCAGGCCATTGTTCTGATTGGTAGGCATCTGGTGTTGAGATATGATTTCTATAGTGTCACTAGTCCCATTACAGCATGAGATCTGGCAGCCCAAATGCAGAGAACAGGTGTCAGTGGGCAGCAGAAGGGAGCTGGACCACCCCTGTGGCAAGGGTGCAGGTGATCTGGGGAACTGGGAGAAATCAGGTGACAATAGGCAAAGAGCCCAAAATTCATTCCTGGGGCAACTGGAAGATGAGGTGTGGTTCCAAATTTCAGACACAAATTTCTCAGTAGATACATGGTTGTTTTTCCCCTATCCAGATTACAGAGGGCCTGTAAAAGGCTCTGGGAAGCAGCTACTTTTCCTCCTGCCGATTCACAGTCCCCGTCATATCCTCCAAGAAAAGCCATAGTATTTTCAGGTCTTCAGCCATTTGTTTATTCACTGCAGGACCAGACTGCAAATCCATGTCTAATAAATGCAATTATTTGCCATACATATACAGCAGGAAATAAGCTAGCTACTTGCTATTTATGCTTAGTTGGAGTTTAAATTTAAATGTTATCTGTGGATTTTGTAGATTTGGTATATCTAAAGTAGGTCGTTAGCTTCCAAAGTCAAGGTACTCTTTCCACATAACTGTTCTTGTTGCACAGTTGTTTCAGACAGGACAGCACTGGCATTTCCAATAAAATTCTATCCCTTCTATTTTAAAAAATGGAGAAAAAATCAATAGCTAATCGGTCTACTGCTTAGATGCTAACTACTTGGTATTGTGTGTTGGTGTGGGTTTTATTTCTTTTGGTGGATTAAAATATGGCAAAACAGTGAACTACTGATTGGTTTAACAGCTCCTAGGCATATCTGCTTTCTCGAAAGCCAGTTACCTAGTCCTCTTTCTGAGACAGGAACATTTAGATCACTATACTGCCCATGTTCAGCTACACATTTACTATCAAATGTCACCAGACAGGAAATAGAGCCAGTCATTTAAAAGTAGAAGGGAAAATATCTAAGTCACAGGCTTTATGAAATCAGTAAGCTTTTTTCTTGACTGAAAAGAGCAGAATTTAACAAAAACAACATTGGATTCTATGTAAGAGAGAGGAATGCAACTTTTGCTCACTCTTTAACTTTAAATATTGTATCCAAGTGGTTTTTGTAAGAAGATGCTATACAGAACTTTATACAAGGAAGAAAGCTGCAGTGACTTTGAATG